ATAACTCTGGATGGGAGAAGGCAAATTTCAAATGTCAACTTTAAAATAAGCCAGAAGCTTAAATAGAACCATATTTCCTTGAGACTTACTGTAAATATATCCTAGGTATAAACATGACACTGTAGAATTTCTTTAGGAAAATCAGTATGTAAAGTTTGCCGTGCAGAACAGCCGTAGGAATTCTGGAGGTGTAGGACTTTGAGAGATTCTTGCACTCCATTTAAAAAAAGTGTCTTTTTTTTCAACACCCATTCTCTATTCATCTCTACTTCTCACTATCTTTTCTCCTGGAGAGCTGAGAAGGCAAAGATCAGTAGCTGACGGCTGCATGCAGGAAAACTAGTGGAAATGCTGAAATTCAAATTGCAGTTGACATGGCTGTTTCTCCTTTACGCCGAGCACAGGAAGTGTGAGATGCTTGTGTAGGTGTTCCACTGATGAAGCCATGTTGGCTTACAGAATCAAAGTTGTCTTGTGTGACACGACAGACATTCAGCTGTGATGTCTTTATGCCACATTAGCCGAAATGTCTGCTCTGACTTCACTGAACTCTTTGGGAATAAATTAGTGATGTGATGGAGGGCTCTTGTAGTTGTTTTGACAGCTTCTTGAGGACGTGTATGGCAGCAGAGCCGATAAAATAGCAGAGTTGAGGCACTGTAAAGTACCAGTCGTGATTTATGGCTCGTATCAAAAAATACTTTTGAACGGTTTTCCTTCAAGCTGAACATTTCTGAACGCTGGTTTTCATGCTCTGACTTAAATTTAGGGCAATTGCGACGATGTAATGTTCACAGCACAAGCAAACAATGAAAAACAACCTTTTTGATGCAGTACATGTGACAGTGATGTGTAGTAATATTTTTTTTTAATAAAAATATAACTGTTATGCTACTTTTTGTCAAGGTTCATGTAAAATGAGGTACAACCTAGCTGCCTCTTACACACGTTTAGCAACTGATTTCTTGTCAAAGCAATTAATGTGGTATAATTGTCTTTTGGCAAGATCCTGAAATGTATTCTGTCATCAATTTCTTTCTGGTCAATTTTGCGGTTTCCACAAAAATATAAAGCAGCACAACTCTGTAAACAATAATTCTAAGAAGTGATTCTTGAGCACCAAATCAGCATTTTAAAATGATTTCTGAAGGATCATGTGACTGAAGACTGGAGTAATGATGCTGAAAATTCAGTTTTGCCATCACATATATAAACTACGGTAGATTTTAAATTTTATTACGATAGAAAAGTTATTTTAAATTGTAATAATATTTTACAATTTTCCTGTTTTTAAAGCTGCTGTAGGTAACTTTTGAAAAAATGTATTTGTTAAAACTGTCATTATGTCCTGACAGTAGAATATGAGACAGATAATCTGTGTAAAAATCAAGCTCCTCTGGCTCCTCCTAGTGGTCCTATTGCCATTTGCAAGAAATACACGCTCCCAGTCAGAAACAACCAATCAGAGCCAGGAGGAATGTCTTAGCAGTGTCAATCACGCTCGTGTACACGCTGATCACACCCCTCTCTTGCACAGCACGAGCCGTCGTTCAGACTCAAGATTGCCGGCGTGCTGCAGCTGTGCTTATGACGGAGAAACAACCTAAACTGCCAATTCTCGAGTGACACCTGCTCATAAAACAAAGAGGTAAAAGGAAAAAGACTGATGACGATAAACAAGCGAAAAAGAAAGAATTACACAGAGCCCATTGACTCTGTGTCAAAAACTCTAGCCGCATAACATGTAGATAAAATGTCACGCACTCGGCTAAGCAACAATTGAAACCTGCTAATTCACTGGCTTGTCATGTTGCTGAAATAATGTACTTGCACACCTTATCTAGCATTATATATCGCTAGAATAATTACTTACATACTGTAACGTTAGTTGCCGTTATGTAACGTTATCTTACTAGCTATTTATAACTTATAGAAAGAGTGCAACGTTTATAAAGTTACATGTAGGCTATTGCAAAATACATAATGATTTGAGGACCAAGTTTGTAGTCAAAGTATGGGCAGGCCATAGTCAATGTAAAGCATATTATTGACGTTTAGTCCCTATTAGTGAATGTGCCATATAACTTTTTATCCGCTGTTATCGGTGGCCCCGTTTACTAGCCTGCGCGTTTACGACAGGCTCCGCTGTGGAGGACGAGCTGTGGAGGGACTAGGGAGGAGGGCTGTAGCGCAGCAGAGAGCAAGTGGGTGGGGACCTGTAAGTTGTGCTTGTTCAAATTTTCAGGCTAAGTCAACGTTTTCTCAACTCCCTACTGCAGCTTTAACTGTGTTTTTGATCACATAAATGCACCCGTGGTCAACTAAATAAGCAACATAAGAGCAAGCTGTCATCTTTATAAAGATGACACAAAACTATCCTTTACACCACCATCAAATTCTCGAATCAGCTAAAACTGTTATTGAAAGACCTGAACACATTCTGTCTATCATTGTCTTCTCCCTTATTCAGAGGAAGCCACGGTGTCATTTGATCAATATTTAATCTCTTTCACGTCTCCTGCTGTGGCTGCTAAAAGGCAGATCAGGTTAACTCCTCTGAATATCTATTCTTTTGGAGCAACTTCTTCATTATTCCTCAAGCTTAAATCTTTTTAAATATATGACCTCTATTTATTATTTTATGCCATACTCGTATCATTTGTAGTGTAAATCCCTGCTCATTTCAAGTCTTTGTAACAAAGATGAACGTTGTAAATTACCTTATCTCTCACACCACTCAAATTGGATGTTTTTTTATTTTTTTTTATGTTTCGTTGCATTCGGTTGCATTCAGTAGTGGACAAAGAGAAACAGCGGATAGTGAGAGTCAGCAGAGTGACCACAGACTTCCTGTAGTGGTGAGGTTATGTTGCCAGATATTCAGGGTTGCCAGGTTTTTAGGACATGCTTCTTGACCTGATACAGGTGGGTTTGATGAGTACGCTATGGTGGAATTGAATAAACATCCTCTCCCCCTCCCACTAAATCTCAGTGTTTTTTTTTGTTGTTGCTCTCTGAGGCTTTGTGGTCTGTTCTAATTTACTCCACATGACCCGGCATTCGCCAGCGATTCTAAATACTAAAATCTCACCAGATGCTGTAAGATTTTCATTAGGGTTTTTGTTGCATTTTCACCCCTGCCCTTCTTTATGAAAGATGAGTGTGTAAACAGCACGGTGGGTTTCTTAATGAAGCTGATTATTTATTTCAACTGTCTTTGAAAGTCTTTTTTACTCATGCTTTTAGGAGAAATCCTTCCCATGGCATTAGCGTTGAGTGCAAATGTGACTAACCAAACTGTTACACTTATGAAAGTTATTTTTCCTCCTAATATGAAAAAAGATTTGATACATTGTGTAACCATGTGGTAATGTATTAATTTTGGATATTCAAGTGAATTGTTTATTTATTTTTTACATTTTTATTTATTTATTTGAACTTTAATGGATGGAAACCAAAAATAAGATTATTCATAAGTCAATGTTTTGCATCAATGGCAACAATTATATATAAATAACAGCCCTTTTACCACAATATGAACCAGTGGACACATTTCTACTGTAAGTTGTAACGTTATACAGTATATAGTGCCATACCACCCTGTCCTAAGCTTTCCCATTTCATGCTTTTTGTCCTCTGGATGTCCTGAGTTTGATGGGTCATTGATGATGGAGACTGTAAAAAGGCCTGATGGAATTGCATGTCCCGGTGGATATTACACTAGTATGCAGAGGCAGAGATGAGGGACAGATGTGCTACAGCATGTTCTGGTTATCTATAAGAATAAATCATTCATTCCCTTTGTTTGGGTTTGGATATATTACGTGAATGAAGATCATTTACATTTCTATTGTTATGCACAGTAGCCCCCAAAAGTCCAATGTAACAAAACAATACAAAAGTATGAAATGTTCACAAACTATTTGTAGTGAAAATTCATACCGTGTCTGATTCTGAATTTTCAACTGGGAGTGTGTACAGTACATACACACATCTTACACCATAATGCCCTAATTTCATCATAGAATTAATTTGTTTTGAAATCTTGAAGTGCTTTTTGACTGTGCAAATAGGCCTTTATTTTTGTGATTTAAACGCATGTTTGTCCAACTGTGTGTAGCTGCAGTTAATTTAAACAGGCAAGGTCGTGTTTACAAAGCAGCAAAGTTTTTTGCCATTTGTTCTCTTGCCAAGTTTTTCTTGTAATCACACAATAATTGAGAAGAAACAGAGAATGATATCAGACTCGCTGGAATAGTCACCTTATGATTGCCATGAAGAAACATGCAGGGCCTTTTCTCTTCTTCTTCCTTCCATTCCCTTTCATTTCTACTTCCTCTTCCACTTCTTTCCATTCTCTTTCTCCTCTTTTTTCCTCCCCCCCCCCCCTGCTTCCCCTGCTCCTACTCTTCCACTCTCTCTCCTCTTACTTGTTCTTTTTCCTTTCCTTTCTGTTCCTTTCCTTCCCTTTCCTTTCTGCTCCTTTCCTTTCCTTTCCTTTCCTTTCTGCTCCTTTCCTTTCCTTTCTCCTCCTTTTACTTTCCTTGCTGCACTTTAACAATCCTTTCCTTTCTACTCCTTTCCGGTCCTTCCCTTTTTGCTCCTTCCCTTTTTGCTCCTTTCCTTTTCTTCCTATATGCTCCTTTCCTTTCCTATATGCTTCTTTGCTTTCCTTTATGCTCCTCTTCTTTACACACCTTTACGCTCCTCTTCTTTACACACTTTTACGTTCCTCTCTTTTACACACTTTTACGTTCCTTCCTTTTCAATCCTCCTTTCCCTCTACGCTCTGTTCCTTTGCACTCCATTTCTTTACACTCCTTTCCTTTACAGTGCTTTCCTTTCTTCCTTTTATGTTTTCCTCTTAAAAGGTATTTGACATTGCTGTGCATATGCATGCGTTTTGCAGTAATCAAACTGATATCATTAGCTTAACACCACTCATCTGCAGAGCAAGTGAATAACCCCTCTTTTTCTCCTGTTTCTTTTCCCCGTTTCAGAATAAGAATGTTTCGGCTAAACTGGAAAAGAAGAAATGGGAGGATATTGTAGTTAAACGACAGAAGGAGACCGAGGAGAGCATGACCCCTGACATAGATGAAAATGGCTTCTGCAATCTGGCCAGCAGCGTGGGGCGAGACCAGGAGCGGGTGAAAGATCGTCTGCTGAAGAACACATACTCCAAGAAGAGCAAACGAGTGAGTCTGTCATTTCTTTCTGCAGGTTAAATGATAGCTTGACGGACAAGGGCAGCGGAGCGTGAACCCTGTGCGATCTTATACCTGTTCCTGAGTGTTGACTGGTTTGACTGGCGTTGACCGGATTAATGTGGCCGTTGCAGTCATTACTGAATGCCTGCAGTTTCTGGAAGGACTCAGTGAGGTGTGCGCATATGAATGTGACAGCAGTATATCAGCGGCTGACAGATTACTGGTCTAGAGCTGTGGTTAAGCCGCACAGCATGCTGTTAATGACGAAGAAGAACAAATATAACCTTCTCTCGCTTCCTGTATCCATTTTCTCTCCCTCCTTTGTTTTGGCTTATTTGTAGCTCTTCTTGATAGTGATAGTGCAGACAGTGCAGGAAGGAGTAGGCTGAAGTGGGGAGAATGGGATCGGATTATGTCACCAGTCAGATTTGAACTCAAGTTGCCTACATAAGTACCAAGGCCATCAGTTTTGTTACCTGAATGAATCTATTATTCTTTCTATCTTTCCATTTGTTGCTCTGTCTATCTTTCTGTCATTCAATGTTGTTCTATCAATCATTCTGCCATTCTTTCTATACTTCTATCTATCTGTCTGTCTGTCTAGCTATCGTTCTGTCTAGCTATCATTCTGTCTTTCTGTCTAGCTATAGTTCTGTCTGTCTAGCTATCGTTCTATCTGTCTTTCGAAGTGGAAGTGACAAACTTTCGGAAAGTGTAGTTATAATGATTGCTACACCCCTGGTACTAATGGTTAGGCCCTAACTCCAATCCATGATCTTCTTTTCTTCTTTACTGTCTGTCTTCTGTCGCTCATACTGAGTTTTCTAAGAGGACAGCTTTCTGACACCATGAGGAGAGATAGAATATTATCAGGCCAGAGTTAAAGCGAAATGGACAGACAGAGCACGGTTCATCGTGTGTCTGTCACTTACCTCCTCCCAGAGGCATCTGATTACCCTCCCCTGAAGACTTCTCCATCACTGTAGCCCAATGAATATAAAGCAGCCTCTCTCCAGATGGGATCTCTTTCTGATCACAGGCCTTTGTGCGTTCGCTCGCACTGGCACAGTGTTTAAATGCAGGGTGTTCTAGCCCGCGTGGGCGTCTATCAGACCCTCATACACCCGCTGGCATCTCCGTTTCCCTCTCTGATCAGAAATAATGGGGAAAAAAGAAAACCACTTTCATATCGCTGTAATTGCAGAGCGGAAGACTCTCCACAAAGCAGCCATCTGGACGGGGAGAGACTGAATGCGCATGGGCCGCTGTTCTGTGTGTGTGTGTGTGTGTGTGTGTGTGTGTGTGTGTTTATATTTGCTAGCTGAAGAGATGCAGAGAGACACACACAGCATGTCTCTGATCAGCGTGTCGGGGCTTTTGATGCACAGCTCTGCTTGATTTCTGCCTCTGAACAGCTCGTGATCACACTTAAAGGCAGATTCGTTAAAGCATTTAAGCGTTAACTTTTTTTTCACGCTTGCAACTCATAATGAGTGAGTGGAGTGTGTTCAATGATTCAGCTAGTCATATGCTTGATGTTTTTCTTTAAGATCTCCATGCAGTGGCGCATGTATTTCACACTAGCCCACAGGACCTAAATTAAATTTCTGCCACAGTGGGACTGGCCACTTCCTCTGCCACTATTGACAATGAAAATGTTTTACCAAATGGAATTTTATATTAATATATAAACCTGTCACAAAAAAAAAGCATACAATATCTCTCTAATTGTTCTATCTGTCTGTTGATCTATCAGTTGTTCGAGTTATGGTTCTATAGATCTAGTGTTCTGTCATTGGAAACTGAGTGACCTTTTTTTTTAACCATTTTGGGGAAAGTTGTCACCATGTATTGCACTCCTCAAGGACTCCAGACAGCAGAGAGTATCAGACTCAGGTTAGTGTGTGTGTGTGTGAGATAGATTTGTAAAATATATATATTATATATATATATAGAGAGAGAGAGAGAGAGAGAGAGAGAGAGAGAGAGAGAGAGAGAGAGAGAGAGAGAGAGAGAGAGAGAGAGAGAGGAGAGAGAGAGGAGAGAGAGAAGAGAGAGAGAGAGAGAGAGAGAGAGAGAGAGAGAGAGAGAGAGAGAGAGAGAGAGAGAGAGAGAGAGAGAGAGAGAGAGGAGAGAGAGAGAGAGAGAGAGAGAGAGAGAGAGAGAGAGAGAGAGAGAGAGAGAGAGAGAGAGAGAGAGAGAGAGAGAGAGAGAGAGAGAGAGAGAGAGAGAGAGAGAGAGAGAGAGAATCAATGTTTATGGAAAGTCCCCATAAAACATGGAAACCCAATGTGTGTGTGAATACTGTTAGATTGTATACAACACACACACTTGTTTGGTAGTGCTGATTGGTCTGTTGGTGTGTTGCCAGATGTCATCGTCCTCTGGAGCATCAGTATTAAATCTAGCACTGACTGCGTCATACCGCTCTGGGAGAAATGGAAAGCGATAGAGCGCCCATCAAACACACACGATTGCTTGGTTTTTCATGATGAGCTCGTGTAACTCGAGGGAATCTCTTCCTTTCTGCTTTCATGGCTGATACTCCATTGTGTGAAGTAAACTCATAGGTGATCCAGTAACTGTCATGCTCTCTGATGTGCTCGACGAGGCTGGCTTCAGGTTATCACCCTTCAGGGCAGATCAGCCACAGCAGGACATCTCTCACAGAGAAAATCACAGGAAATAGAGAGAACTTGGCCAAATATCTCTCACTCATAATATGCTCTATTTTGGGGTGGTGTAACCTGTTTGGTTGTGGATTCCAGGTCACTACAAGTGAGCTACAAAGTATTGCCACTGCACTTTAGACGCTTAACCTCAGGTTACTCTGTTCTTCCTGTAATTACTTGAAGCTTCTGCTTGAGTTACAAAAGCATCAGCTAAAGGGCAAATCAGATTTAATATAGTCTAACTTTACGCAGTCTTCATAAAGCTTTAATATGACATTTTTCTCTCCTGTCCCAGCTTAATAGGAATGGACAACTATAAATAAGCCATTTGTTGGTCGATTTCTTTAAAAATGGAAACACTCTGACTTTACTGTCTCGACCAGCCTGACATGGTAAAATTGGTTTAGCCAAAGGCAGGACTATGTACTGGCTATTGTGGCTAACCAATTGCAGATGTTATTCTTGCAGTTCAGTTTTGATGAAACTAATGGCACAGAAATTGCACACTTAAGCTGTAATGCCACTAAATTAGATTTGTTTACCCTAATTTTTTTAAAACTTTTTTTCCCCTTGGGCCTTGTTATTAAAAAAAGTGATGAAGTGTTTTACTTTCATGGCAAAACATCTTATTCTTAATGAGTTCTTTTTTCCAAGTTAAAATATCTAAAAGATCAATTAAACAAGATGCGTTTACTGGAGAAGCATCACTACATAAGATATCAAGGCTTGTTTTCAGAGATTTTATCTGTAATTCAAGCATATTTTGTCTTTCTGCACTGGCAGATTTTATGTTGGTTTAAGTATAAACTAGCTAAAGTGAAAATATTTACCAGAGCAGGAAGACAGAATACAAAATTGCTTTCCAAGTACTACTAATTCTATTGGTTGTACATTTATGCAACACGTAAGGTTATGCAAAATTTTTTTTTTTGCTAGTTTATCAAAAGTAGGCCATAAACAGTTTTCTGAATGAGAAGTAATCTGTTTTTACACTGAAGTGTTTAACCGTCTCATTCAATGTGCGCATGTCTTGACTATGAAAGTATTTTGATGAAATCTCAGGCATTTTTTTTCTCAGTTTATTGATTTGGGTATATATGTTGAACAGTTATCTTTTGTCTTTTTTTTTTTGTTGATAATTTTAATTTCCACACTATATACAGACTGTCTCCGTTTAAACGTTAATGAAAATAATCGTTGCGCACATCCCTTATTTCCAGCTTGCTGTGATGTGAGGCTAAAAGAATTGTAAATGAACACTAAATCGAGGCCTCTCAAAACTATAAAGAGAAACACACACAGCAGGCCTATTTCATTTGAGCTTTAAGGATGCATGACTCACTGCACATTACAGTTAAAAGAACATCACATACCAGAGTATGCACAGAAAATCAAGAATAAGCTTGAATGCACCCACAGAAATGTTTAGATTCCATTTTTGGAACAGATTTTTTTTTGTTGATTAGATTTTTCTCATAGATTGTTTGTTTACTCAAGGCATTTCTGGCCTTTTAAACTGAAATTGGTGCAATATTGCACAGCCCCTTGTAGGAATGTGACGTATTCTTCAAACGCTCACTTTGTCTAATAGCAGCTGAGAGACTGATAGAGCAAGCTGTAATTTCACCCAGGCTCAGATGTCTGACGATAGGGATTTGCCCAGCGCAGCACTTGCAAGGTTGTGAATTAGCTGCCCAGCCTTTATTCAACAGCCGAAACTATGACGGATAGAGTCTGGAAAGGAGAAGTCTGCATATTTTAAGTAGTGGATATTGCTCATTGTTATACACAATGACTTCTAGTTGTGTTACAATTAAATAAGCACTGAGAAATGCAAAAGACCAAAGTGTGAAAAAGTCTGTTTTATTTTATCTGTAGTAAATCTAGAGGTTAGAGTTGGCATGTTTGAGCGCACTCTAGTTCTGACAGGTTTACATTTTGGTTTCCTTTAGCAGTTTTGATGTCGGCTATGCTGAGCTGAGACCACGTGTATCTATTTGTTTCAGAGGTTAAAAACCTACTTTTAAAGGGGTTGTGACATGGATATTTTATTTTAATATGTTCCTTGAGGTTCACTTATAATGTTAACAAAGTTTTTTTGCACACAAAAAATTATATGTGGTAAAACAATTATTTTCAAACCTCATTCTGACCCTCTGTCTGAAGTAACCCATTTTTAATGAGCGGCTCCTTTAAAGTCCCCCTGTAGTCAGTAATTTATCCATTAAAACTCACCAAAATTACATATTTAAAAGTTTTTTCCTTGCCTTAAATTTCTTCATGCCTTAAAATAGCTTGAATGTAACACTCATGCCT